GGTCCTGCCCTAGGACATCGCAATGTTAATTGGACCATATTTTTTATGTGAATTGTGGTTAGTTTTGGAGTACTCCTTGGTCCTTATGGAGTACTCTTTACACGCATGTATGGAGTAGTCGCGATTTTTGCAGGGTCTGAGAGCGGTGACAACATACTATACAGCTGCGAGAATGCATTTGCTTTTTCGGTCGTTCTCTTTACTCTCAAAACATGTACAAGGTTTGCAAACGATATCAGCAAGAGAATGCGAATGAGCGGGAGTATAATATTTGGCGAATGGAATGCTCATTACCAGAGGTGGGCACTACCACAAACAAGCGTGAGCTAAAAGTGAGCATGTGTTAGTGTACCTAATTCATTTTGCATGCTGTCGTGTTGTCATCGATGCGCTCTCGCTTGTATACGTACAGGCAACGCTTACGCTCTTTTAGCACCTGCTAACTCTCTGCCCATGCCTGCTCATTACCATTGGTGTAACGGAGTATCTCTTATTTTCTTTCCTATGCTCTCTGTTTCGCATTTTTACCTTCAAATAAACGAGTATTTGAGAGTATTACATGTCAAGCGTAGCCTTTTTTTGCTGAAGTGCTGTTAGTCAAGCGCAATAGCGGCATCGTGCTGTAGGTCTTTTGTGGGTAATAAATATTAAACTAATAATTAATAATAAAGAAATTTTTGACATTATGGCAAATATAAATGAGGTAAGTTTTTATTAATGTATATACGTATTTACAGGTTTCATTTTATTTTAAATATCTGTACCTAAATATACTTAACAGTCAACTGATGGAGGCTCTTTTGTTAATTACAATGCCATGGTTTCATGGTTTCATGGTTTTCAGCTTTTAACATTTTTTAGAATTTTTTTGAGTATGCAGTTTTGTAGTTCTCTCAATTTCAGAATAACAAAGCAGAAATTTTAAGTGGCAATGAGCTACCGTTGATTTTTGAGAATTTTTTTACTGACGCTCTTCGGCATTTTTTCCCATACAAAAAAACTACCAGGCACTCGTTATATGGAGAAAATGAGCAACATCATAGCCATTTAAAACTTGCACTTTATTGTACTGAAATTAAGTGAACTACAAAACTGCATACTCAAACAAAATTATAAAAAATTTAGTTTAAAAGCTGAAAATTTTGGTGAAAATTTGTCTAATTTTCCAAAATTTTGTAAAAACTTTGAAACATTTACTTATATGCTTTTTGATGCAGAATGAACTATTTTTCTATTAAAAATTATCGAAAAAATTTATAATGCAAAACATTGGAAACATTAACAAAAAAAAAACACTGTACGGAAACTTATTCTGATGGATGTATGTATGTTTTAAGTGATCCAAATGAATTCCATGTTAAGTTTTAGTTTAAATAAATTTTTTGCTTTCATTTTGTTTTAATTTAAGTTATATGCACATATGTATGTATGTATTAGCATAGGTTATGTCTATTCG